AAGAACTGAAGGAAAAAGAAAAGCGAGGAAAAGGAAAAGGCGTGTACTCTATATCTCAATTTTGGCAATGAATTAAAACATCACCTGACCGAACTGTTTTGGTTTTCTATTATCTACGAGTAGTTGCTAAGCCTAAGAATAGGAAAATGTTTTGACGGCTCTCATGTAGTTAGATTGGTACAAAAAATCTCACGATCTCGAGTACGATTCTGAATTGATAGGTACGATGAGCTAGTGAAGTTGTGAAAGCTTCCATTTAAAATCAAAGCTGAATTTTGAGTTCAATTTTATAACACCACGAGTATCTTAATTTCAATTCCGAATTGTACGAAAAGATCGTGCGATTTTTTATATTGTATTTTTTCTTTTACTTGAGCAAGCTATTCATCGTACTCCTTTTGCTGTTCCAATCGGAATCGAGTACTTTTGCATGATGAGTGTATCATGGCCGTAAGTTCTAAAACCTATGGTTATGCTAAAAAAAATTTCTTGTTTTCCGCATTACCTGTACGTACGTACTGATACAAATTAAATTTAAAATCTCCAGTCAGTGAAGACGTATTTAAGCTTTTACACATTAATTCTATTTTAGGAGCTGGGGTGCCGCGACCACCACTTTAAGAAGGTAATGCTCAGCACCCCCCTTTTTGTGGGGAAAGGATGTAATTAGACATATACAAAATAGATAAGAAACAAACCTAGAAGGGAAGTTTATTTTCCGAAGTGAATAAATTGCTAAACAACCATTCAAGGTCAATCACATGCGCGCAACGAGACACACGAAAAAATGAATAGTAAAATCAAGTTTTGTCCTATTTTGGTGGGGTAACTATAGTTTATGTCAATAGCAAACGGCTCATTTTATTCGTATTTGCGCGCAAACGCAAAATCCAGCACTGCAGATGTGAAATACTCGATCTTGATTTACAACTATGATATCAAAATAGCCTTATGTCACGTAAAGGCATGGGTACGTGTTGCCAAAAAAACTGCAAAGTGCTTATACGAATAATGTGTCAAAAAAAAAAAAAAAAAAAAAGAGCTAAGATATATGACGATAAATCTCCTAACTCCCGCGAGCCTAACTCTACCAAGTTTCAACTTGATTTTCTACTTTTGTTCTAGTGGTGTTTTTTATCATGTACATGGATTGCATCTCCCGGTACTATACTCCCTTTGACCCGACTCGATACAGATCGATACACGTGGCTGTCAGTTGGCCGGCGGGCATGAAACTCGTCACTGACAAATTAAATCCATGTACCGCTTTCCTGATCGGTAGCAAAGCTAACTTCCATTCCCCTGAAATTATTACGTTATGCGTAGGAGACTAGTTAAACTAGAGCTATTTCTGGAAGGCGCGGCTGGAAGGAAAGAGTTTTCCAGCATGGGGCTATCCGAAAGCAAAAGAGCCGCGCAAGGGTCAATAATGCGTGATTAATGCTTTATTAGGGGCATTCTACAAAGTCTCAATGCTCTTACAAGAATGAGTAAGCTGAACCCAACTGACAAGGAGGCAAACCAGTTGGCTATTAACGAGCATGGTAGAAAGACTGAATTTGAACTAATCAGGAATCAGGACAAATACAGTCTCAGCTAGTGGCCACAACGGGACTCGAGCATGGCACGACCGGATTGCGAGACTCCGACGCTATGCATGACCACTCGATCATGCTGCCCCAACCTTCGTTTATATCATATACCTACGTGTCCAGACGTGCTCTTACTCAAGCTCCCTCAGTCCAGTTTCACAATTGATCCTTCATGATAGGCATTTGAGATCTGCTACGCCACAAACGCTTAAAACAGACTTTCATGTATACATTCACCGAAGAAGTTGCACACTTTAAATTTGTCGCTTGCAGCAAGCATTGATGGAATACCTTTTCTTTTACGCTGTTCTGCGGAGCTATAATAGCCTGCTATGATATATATATTCATAGTATAAACTGAGGAATCTTGCATGTGTTGAGGAGAGCGTGCTACATGTGGAGCCAGGAGAGTCGGACCAATGAGGAAAAATGGCTGGAGGCTTCACTTTTACCCATTATTGTACTCACTAGACTGACAAATCTATTCAATCTCCTCCTCCCCTCCCCCCCCCCACCCACATACACCACTACGTCTAATGTCAACCTACCATACCCTCTGTTAATGACCTCCCCAGCCTCCGCCCAATTAATATGAATCGAAAATAAAAGAGTCCCTAAAATTAGGATAATTACGACTATTCCAGGTCATATATACCCCACACGTTCTTCTTATAAATTTAACYTTGAATTTATGAATAATTAATAAATAAACCCAGCTAGCCACCGGAAGCTGAGGAAATATATTTAGCCCTCAAGATATATTAAGTTTAATATATTTAACAATTATTCGCCGAGACGCGCTGATTGGTCGAGACTATCACACGATAATCACCTACAGCGATAATCCAAAATGGCGGCGAGCCACTTTGTTGCYGTTACTGRAGAGGAATTAGAAATAATGAAAGAAAATGCTGTCCCCGGACTAARGAGGCTAACAAATTTGTACTAACTTTGTTCAAAGGTAAAAAAGGACAACAATCGAATAAGCTCAAACAAACTGTTTTGATTCGCGAAGTCGGTGAGTGCGCCTGTGTGGTAATTGCCCTGTTTCAATATGACGTCACTGCTTGTTTATGTGGGGGATAGAATCGCCAAATCCAGTAGAAAATTCAACAAAATTTGCTCCTAGCGAAATAGTTTAATCTTAAATGGCCTGGTTTTTAGATACAATATGTGTTAATATGTACTAAAAAATATTCTGAGCGTTTTCTGGCTATTCTACTTCTCTTTGTGGATTGATACGGGTTTTAGAACAATTTTCGGTGAATTTGCGTTGATTTGACCCCGCCCAACGACCATGATCCTTTGCGTTTAAACAACCGATTGCTATGATGTGACGTCATAGTGAAATAGGACAATTGAAAGCCACGTTTTGGTCACATCGATTAAAATTTTCCATAATTTGTAATGTTTTCGTCTTCTTTTCTTTCTTCTTTCTTTCTTTCTTTTTTAAAAAAAAAAGAATCATCTGTGTATCTTTACTAAATATATAATGAATATTTCATTCAAACTTTCCCCTGGTTTGTTGGTTATGAATGTCCCCATGTCTAGCCAGTATCTCAGTAAATGGACAAATATAAATAGGAGAGGAATTTACATAATACGAACGCCAATAAATATTCAATGGACTTATGTATTCATTAATCAATTTTTTTCTTCCTAAGCACCACGCGTCAACAAGTTTTCAACCAATCTTAAGAGCATGCGCAGCAGTGTCAGTAGCGAGAGAAAATAAACTATCGTATTAAGAATCCGGCCCCGCGCCCCATCATTAGCATTTTGATGCTATTTTAACACATTTTCTCATCCCTGCTGAAGGAATGTGTGGGCATTAGGTTGGGATTCCAGTTTCTTAAATGAATTTTGGGTTGCAGCATTTGACTTTCTTAAGGCCGGTTTAGACGGTACGTACGATTTTCGCCTACAACTATCGTATAACAATACGCTCGCGTCTGTCGTAGGCGAGTTGTAGGGTTGATTTACACGCTACGACTCAAGTTGTAGGATGGCGCGAGCGTGTCTTATACGATAGTTGTAGGCGAAAATCGTACCGTCTAAACCGGCCTTTATAAGAAACAAATAGTTATAATAATATGTTGTCAAGAAAAATTTTGTTTCCAAAAGGGAACCACGAGCGCAGTGCAGATTAGTTTTGAGTTTTAAGCGTTAATTGCTGTTCCTTTATTACAGACTTATTTACGCAGGGTTGAGCGTTTATGCAGACACGTGTCAGTCAAGGTCTGGCGACGAGTTTCAACTGATGATTTTATTGTTGAAGTTGTGCATTCTTCACTTTACCATTTGGTATTTGTGAGTAAAGTATCTACAAGAGAAGAGAGCGATTATATGGCATACTAACATGAAGTGTATACCTTATTTGAACACTGATGCAAACTTAACCCTGTGTAAATGAGGCCCCCTCCCTCCGGGGGGAGGGGGGTACTCCCGTATATGGACTATACGTATACGGGGATGATCCGCTGAACAGGGTATGGTTTTTCGAGCTTCTTGTCATAAACAGGGTATGCAATTTCACTCAAGTTCCAAGTTCTTCCTGAGTTTCCTGTCATATTCAGGGTTTCTACTTTCGTAGTGACCGAAACTGGTTTATATTATGGCCGTAAAAATTAAAAAAAAAAAAAATTAAAAAAAAAATGAGGCGCAAGATGAAAATTAATGATAACCGAAACAGGACCTAAACTCAGTGCAATAAATTATATCTTTTGTCATAAACAGGGTCTACAAATTTGAGGGGTTTTTTGTCATAAACAGGGTACCCGTTTCAGAATCCCAGCGGAACATCCCTACCCAAATTCTGGCGGAGTACCCCACCGGGCCCCGTCCACACTATGCAGGATAAATTTGAATCCGAATTTTTTTTTATTCGGTTAGGCCTACCGTCCACACTAGTCCGGGCGAATCCGGAACAATTCTTCACCGAAAACGAATTTTTACGAATACGGTCTCCAGAGTGGAACAATTTGAAAACGCCGGCTAGCCGTATTAGTGTGGACGGAGAGCATTTCGTATCCGAAATTTTTCGAATACAATGACCTCATGATTGTCATGGGAACATGGCGGGAAAGCTAAAAATTCACAGCGAGCTAAAAATTTCAGCTTCGATGCACATATGCTCAGATGTGCAATGCAGCGTTTTTGCCGCYTCTGATCGGAGTAGTGTTGTGGACGCGAAACATTTTATCCGTTTCATGTGTCAACGGAAAACTTTTTTTTCGGTTTCGGTGTGAAAGTTGCGGATTCAAATTTATCCGGCATTGTGTGGACGGGGCCTGAGTCTGTTCGTATTCAAGAAACACAGCGGTAATTGTGGAACTCAAAACGCCCGTTCTACTTTATAAGTCACGTGTGACATGGATAATGTCAGTAATATTACTGGGACACACGTGACACTCAACAAGATACTACTATAATGCAGCCAGCTCTCTGATCAGTTGGATCTTTACGCTTGATTTTAGTTCTTATTTCATGCTCGAAGGAAACTCATTCAGGTTGATGACATCAATATACAATCGCTTCAACAATTTCGGAGCATATTTTTTCTCACAACAAAGCAAATCGTTACGAAATAAGTAGGTTTGTTGAGGTTTGATATCGTTGAGCCTCTTGCCAAACAAAATGGTAGCTGAAAGAGAAACTTGGGTCGGCAAGTTRGACTTCATTCTCGCCCTGATCGGGTTTTCTGTTGGTCTTGGAAACATTTGGCGTTTTCCATACTTGTGTTATAAGAATGGCGGAGGTGAGTGAAATATTTTGTGATCTATTTGAAGCAAACACTTACTTGAACATGTGCGTTCGACCAGAATTAGTAACTGCATTTACCGAATCTTTATTCGTTGTTTTATATGCGCTATATATCGAGATAATGTGTTAGTTTTTTGCTGGGTTTACATCCTTATGTTTGCCTCGAATACGAAAGCTACGAAAATTCATCACTGACATTGAAGATGGGAGACGAGCCCCCGAAACATGTCTGTAAAATTGATAGCAGTGGTCCTGACTGTAAAATTAATTTGTTGGATTTGCTCTTCAGCTCAACAATAGATCTATTTTTTAATCTCTTGTGAATGCGAAAATAATCGATTCTTCCCCAAATTCATTGTAAAATTCTAAGTGTACGAGACGTGGGATAAGCTGTCTTGACAAAGAAACGAAAGGCGCTTTACTCCCTTGTCTTTTGACAAGAAGCAGCCGCGCTGAATAGGCAGGTGGCTGTCAAGCGATGATATTCTTTGAATAACTCCACCCAAAAAAACTGAATGAAAAATCCTAATAGTGGGCGCATTACTAATTTGTGCCATCCTAAAGTAAGCTTATTTCCATGTGCCATGGACCTGTGCCATGCGACTTTCTTGTTGCCTTGGGTCGCCCTTTGTAAAATACATGCTCTCACGTATGGCAGGCACGTATAYAATTGTTCAAATTCTCCTTTGACCTAATTTGAACTGATTTAAGAACARAATCCCTGAATAAACGCTTTGATTCACTATTGATTTCGATTTCTTAGGAGTGCGACAAATTAAGAATATTTTTGGTTTCTTTCCCTGYTTACTTCATGTCATTCAAAGATGGACATATTTGGAAAAYATTTTCAAATACACTKTGTGATCACGCAATCTAGTAAATTRATATAGTGCTTTAGTTTAACCTGGTTTTGGCTTAGATTCTTTATCGCTCAGTAATCAAACTGTATGTCGACATGGATTCTTGATTATTCATATTTTCTTCTAACTAAAGATATATCAATATATTGTCATAAATTATACAGYATAAATATTTATTGGTTTTCACTATAAGCTTACTATGCACAGACACAAMTTTAGTGATTAAGTGTTTTGGTGCTTTGGGCTGTTACGAGGATTAATACAATTTGCAAATAGCAGCTTAAATGACAATCCCTGAATATTCTTCAAGTTTTGCACATGAATGACTTTAAATAAGCAAAGGCTATTGTGATGTGAAAACAGAATAGTCTGTATTACCAGTTTATAGCTTAACACTGGTTTTTATTTGTTCGCGATTCACTAAATAGTTTCTTATATTTATTGAGATGACAATATTTTGTGGTTTTTTCGTTTCAAAAATAAGGTTGCTGATTGGCTAACGTGTGACGAAAAGGAAAGCTTGAGCACGCGTGTCAAATTTTTACTCTTTTTGTTTGTGCCATAGCGCACACTCATAAGGAGAATTTCGCTTTTAATCAATGAAAATTGGTCATTTTTTTCATTTTTGTGTTTTAATTCTTTATAATCAGGATAAAAAACTATTTACGATTTTGAGAAGACAATGCTACGAAATATTGACGGCGTTGGAAGAAAATATATTCAGTATTGGGCTCCATCGCTTTGCGACTCTGTCCAATACTGAATATATTTTCTCCCAACTAGCCATCAATATTTCATGGTATTGWCGTCTCAAAATCATAATTGGCTCATATAACGACAATAAAAGCACTGAGGATAAGGATTAGTATAGGTAATTGTATGGGGCCAAATTAATATAAGGATTAATTTCATGAGTGTTTTCAAAGTTTTGAAATCCTTAATTTTACAAGGAACCATACAATTACCTGTTTACCATATACAGGGCAAAATTACATGAAAATAAACTATCAAATGAAGTGATGGTTCAAAATAATTTTACTCAACAAAGTTCAAGAGTGTTACTTCATTAATACATTATGTGCTTTCTTSTATCAAACTTTGGACAATGATACTTTAAGGGTTTTTTTTGGTAATAAAAGATTATCATCGATCGCTGAGCTTAAAACAAAAATTATTTTGCAGGGTTTACCCTGGGTTCTGCTAAATAAAATCTTTAAAATGTTAAATCTTAAAAAAARGTGATTCAACCGAAAGAACAACAAATGTTAAAAAAATCTAGTCAAAAACCATAAGAAGATGCATTCCTACCAACAAAGTTTTTAGTCTGAATAAGAATCCAAAGGAAGAAGCAGTTTTTAAGCAGCGTTTTGGTCAGCGTTTTGACTTATTAAGTCCAGTCTGAGATGAYTGTGCTCAATCTTCAGCGATGTTCAAAGGCAAAGGGCAGCTGGTGAAGTTGAACACATTCGAGTCTACTTGAGTAGCCTTTCYGAGGACCATTTATGTAAAAACATTTATCCACACAACTGTACTCTTTCTAGTGTTCTCATTTTCTTGAACTTTTTGGTTTTCTTWTTTTTTTTTTCCATCTGACTATGCAAAACGGGAAGCCATTTTGGAAAAGAAAAATTTGCAGTTTATGAGCRTTGCTAGGCAACTGAACTACCAATCATTTTCTAGTAATTCRGCCCCCAATTATGGAAAAAAGTTCTACTTCATTGGCTAATCAGCATCAAGTAATTTTGCCCTGTATGCGATAAACCACCCAACTCATCCATTTTGTTCCATGGAAATTTGAATTTTCTTTAAGGATTACTACCAAAACAGGTAGTGGATTTGACTCGTCAAAAAGCACTTGTTTTACTCTACATTCCTAAAGCCCCATGCATACATTCCTGAGCACAGAGCAGCAATTTAACTTTGATGTTAAGATTCAAATTTGATGGTTACTGACCACAAGCTCAAAGTTCAAAGCTAATTAACTGCCCTGGGCTCAGGAATGTGTGAACAAGACATTAYGAATGTGAAGTAAAACAAGTACTTTTTGACGAGTCAAATCCACACTCTACCTGTTTTGGTAGTAGTTAACTTTTGCTTGGATCACTTATGGTAATTTTGAGTATTTACTCATGATATTGAATTCAACTAGTATTAACTATAGGCCTTATTACCATTTCATTGCATTCTTCAAAGGGAATTTCATTATAGTAAATAAAATATTGTGTAATTCTGGAAAAAATTTCATACTCCACCATAGAGAAAATTGGAAATTCTGAAGGGGTGGGGTTCAAAATTAAATTTCCTTCATAGGAACTACACATTTTCAACTGATAAAAAGATGGGATTTAATGTGATTTAATYTTAGGTACATGTCTAATATTGATAGACGTAGGCAGTCAGCCCTTTCTCATTTCTAGCTGTGCTAAAATCTCAGCAGGACAGTGGGAATTTGAGCCTTTGACAACCCAAACAACACACCTGCATGCATACTATACATGTCATCATGTTTAAATAATTTTTTAATTCAAAATCATTAACAGTTCTATTCTCATGATATACTAGAAATCCTGCTATTAAAACACTCCAAAATCACAAAAAATAATTGTATCTCAAACACTCTAAGAAAAATGCCTATATTGTGTTGTAATGATCTAAGAGAATTTTCTGGAGGTTCGTGGCAGTCGAAGAGTTTCAGGATGACATAATATGCAGTTGGATTCCTCTARGGCAAAATTATTCATTTAACCATATGCAAAATTGTAGTGACATTGTTGACATTGACAATTCACATTGCTTGATAATGGTACCATATCAACACCAAAATGTCACACTAATGGTTATTTTTATTATAGCATTTCACATACAAAGTTCTATTAATCCCTCAATACTGTGATTGTGAATTTACAGGCCATTGCTCTAGTTTAATTGGACTTGGTTATTTCAGTTGTGAGCTTTTGTCTCTAGTCTGTGAAGCTTATCCCTGGTGCAAATCCTGCTCAGGATCCTGATAGGATCCTACTAGGATCCTACCAGGATCCTGAGCAGGATCTTGTACAGGATCCTGTTCAAGATCCTGTTTCAAGATCCTGTAGGATCTTGAATAGGATCCTGTAGGATCCTACCAGGATCCTGTAGGATCTTATAGGATCCTGTACAAGATCCTATAGGATCCTATAACATCCTATAGGATCTTGTACGAAATCCTACTCAATATCCTATAGGATCCTATTCAAGATCTCATAGGATCCTATTTAAGATCCTGCACAATCCTATTTAAGATCTTATAGGATCCTATTTAAGATCTTGTAGGATCCTAATCAAGATTTTATTGGATCCTATTCAAGATCCTGTCCAAGATCCTGTACAGGATTTTGTTATTTTGTTCTTGAGAGTATAGTTTTTCAATATAACATTAGTTTCTGAAATTTCTTTGCAAAGTTTATTATTTTATTACTAAATTGTATAAAAAATATTAATATACAACCATGTACTATTAGCTAAAAAGTTGCTGTTTCTAATAACAAATAAGTTAAGATGAATAATACAACTTTCGTTATTTCCTTTAGAGTGCAAACAATTAATCCATGAAACACTAATTTCTAAATAGTACAAAATAGTGCTAATTAAACAATAGAAAACTATGGAATTTGTATGAAATTATGCTATTTAGTATTACTAAAGTTTCACGGTTATATTGTTTGCACTCTATCACATATCCTGCTTTTGTTTACTAAACTCCATTGTTGTAGGCAACTTAAGATGACTGCCTACTTTGGGAAAAAAATTTAAACTTTTTTTAAAACTTCAATTAATACACCTTATAATTCACTGAATCTTTTATACATATTTTGTTTTTAAAAAATTAAGACTATTAGTTCTAAGAGCAGAATAAAGGAAAACAAAAGCTAAAACACTATCTTAGGTAAACATTTGACATTTCTAATGTTTTGTTTCAATTTCCTTTTTAAAGCTTTTTGTGCCTAGCATTTCTTCTCCTTGTCTCACCATCTGAAATATTTCCTAGAGGAGGAATTGAAATTCCATTAGTGATTTAGTGAGAATGAAATTTTTCTGGCTTCAAATTATTAATTTTTCCCAGTTGCCTAATTTGTAAACCAAGCAATGCATATGGTAT